CGCTCTTGTCGCCCAAGCTGGAGTACAATGGCCCGATCTCAGCTCACTAAAACCTCCACCTCCCGGGTTGAAGCAATTCTCCTGCCTCAGCCTCCCTAGTAGCTGGGATTTCAGGTGCCTGCCACCGTGCCCAGCTACTTTTTTGTATTTTTAGTAGAGATGGGGTTTCACCATGTTGGCCAGGCTGGTCTGGAACTCCTGACCTCAAGTGATACACCCACGTCGGCCTCCCAATGCCCAATGTGCCGGGATTATAGGGGTGAGTCACTGCACCCGGCCTCACCTCCTTTTTCTTCATGCTATACCTTTATTAATCTGACCCAAAGTAAGTCTCAGAGGTAACTTTTCTTTAGCAGGTACACCACAATGACAGAAGAATTTACTGGGTGGAGGGAGAGTGATTGGGGGTTACTGGGCTGGAGTGGGGGAACCTCACCAGTCGGGCAGCAACTCTTTGATCTTCTCCATCAGTCCTAAGGAAGGATCCAGCTGGAGGAACCAGGCAAGCTGGATGGCACTGAAGAGGAAAAGCCAACTGAGGGGGCTGGCAGGAAACACACCGGTGAGAAAGTCATTCTGTGGGGAGGAAAGGGCATCCATTCAATCATCTGCCCTCTCCTCTGTTCTGTGCCATCCTCAAACATTATTGAGCACCCAGTGTGTGTTGAGCCCTGAGCTGGATGCTCAAGATCTAGTAGGGAACAGAGAGATCCAGGTCTTGCCCTCAGGAAGGTCAGTCCAGAATGAAGTAAGTATTAATTGCTATAGGGCAAGAAACAGGAGGAGCCCTGTGTTGGCAAGTTACAGTTTGAGGGCATCAGGGAGGGTTCCCTGGAGGAGGATATTCTGAGGCAGGACTTCGAAGGGGAGGCTGTCAAAGGCAGAACAGACCGGCTCACTCCTGTAAACTCAGCACTTTGGGAGGTCAAGGAGGAGAATCCCTTGAGCATAGGAGTTCAAGACCAGCAGTGGCTCACGCCTGTAATCCTAACACTTTGGGAGCCTGAAGTGGGTGGATCACTTGAGGCCAGGAGTTCAAGACTGGCTGGGACAACATGGTGAAATCCATCTCTAATAAAAATACAAAAATTAGCCGGGCATGGTGGCGGGTGCCTGTAATCCCAGCTACTTGGGAGACTGAGGCATGAGAATCGCTTGAGCCCAGGAAGCAGAGGTTGCAGTGATCCAAGATTACGTTACTGCACTCCAGCCTGGGTGACAGAACAAGACTCTGTCTCAAAAAAAAAAAAAAAAAAAAAAGCCAGGCACGGCGGCACACACCTTAGTCCCAGCTACTTGGAAGGCTGAAGCAGGAGGATCACTTGAGCCCAGGAATTTAGGGATGAAGTGAGCTGTGATGGTGACACTCCAGCCTGGGTAACAAAGTAAGACCGACCCTGTCTCAAAAAAATAAATAAATAAAAAAGTCAGGCGCGGTGGCTCACGCCTGTAATCCCAGCACTTTGGGAGGCCGAGACAAGCAGATCATGAGGTCAGGAGATCGAGACCATCCTGGCTAACACGGTGAAACCCCGTCTCTACTAAAAATACAAAAAAAAATTAGCCGGGCGTAGTGGTGGGCGCCTGTAGTCCCAGCTACTCAGGAGGCTGAGGCAGGAGAATGGTGTGAACCCAGGAGGGTTTGCAGTGAGCCGAGATCACACCACTGCACTCCAGCCTGGGCGACAGAGCGAGACTCTGTTTCCAAAAAAGAAAAAAAAAAAAGGCAAAATGATCCTGTTCAGAGCAGGGTCTGGAGCTCAGTAAGGCCTTCTAGAAGTACCAGATCATGGAATCAATGAGGAATGAACAACAGCACTGGGTTACTAACGAAACTCCTTTGGAAGCCTGAGAGAGAGAGAACTAACATTTAATGAGCACTTACTACATTCCAGGTGCCATTTACAAGGATTAACAATTTAAATCCTCCCCAAACTGTGTTAAGTAAGTACTAACATGACCTCATTTTACAAATGACAACACTGGGGTTTGGCCAGGCGCAGTAGCCCATGCCTGTAATCCCAGTACTTTGGGAGGCGGAGGCGGGTGGATCATCTGAGGTCAGGTGTTCTTTTTTTTTGTTT